GCATTCTGTTTGGCACATATGTAACTCACTTTATTTTTGTTTTAGGAGGGATTGTTATATTCATTTGATAGATTAATTAAAAACAACGGAGGCTCAGAAAATTTAAATAATTCACTAGCCAACAGGTGTAAGAACTCAGTTTTTAATTTAGTCCTGTGTGACTTCAGAGTTCATTGTACCTGTGTGTGGAAAACTCAATGTGTGCTAAGTCACTTCGGTCATGTCCGACTCTTTGCAACCCCATAGACAGAAGCCTGGTGGGCTTCTCTGTATATGGGCGTCTCCAGGCAAGAATACTGAAGTGGGTTGCCTTTTCCTCCTCCAGGGGATCTTCCTGACTCAGGGATCAAACCCGATCTCTTACCTCCCCTGCATTGGCAGGCGGGTTCTTCACCACTAGTACCACCTGGGAAGCCCAGAAAGCTCAGTGACACTATAGTAAACCAGAAATTCACAACATAGGTTCTCTAACCCTAAGGAATTCAGGAATGTGGAAAGTGAATGGTAGGTATGATTAGGGCAGACATATGCCATTTTGGTCTGGCCTGTCTAGGACACAGTCACTCATCTCACCAAAAAATCTCTATCTTGGGCAGATATTTGTAAGGAAAGGAGACTGCAGGAATCCAAACAGTTAAAAAAGATAAAATCTCCAAGGTTCCACGTAGGTTAATAAAAAGTCCTAAAGGCTAAGACTGGGACAACAACAAGCTCCTGTGCTCCCGAAGGATGACCTCAGAGAAATGACTCCTTTCTCTGTGTCCTTTTTTTTTTTCTTTTGAATTAGCTCTTTATCTATTTATTTATTTTTTCATTTATTTTTATTAGTTGGAGGCTAATTACTTTACAATATTGTAGTGGGTTTTGTCATACATTGATACGAATCAGCCATGTATTCCCCATCCCGATCCCCCACCCCCCACCTTGTTACCACCAGGACTGCAGTGTCTGCATGGGACCACCATGTCTACAGTCACTACTGGCCAGAGCTTGTAAGGATTCAAAGAAATATCTTTCACATACTGTATCTATTACAAATAGCAAGTTAAGGGAAGGTTGTATTCCTTTTCTTTACTGCTGCCATTGTAGATAAGGTAGATTTTCTCACAGGACACTGAGGGAAAGAGGACGGGGCCGAAAGGAAAGGAGTTCCCACCTGGCTCCAGACTGAGGGCAATTTCTATCCAAAAGTACATGTGGTCAGGACTGTGTTGGAGAATAAAATTGTCAAACTTGGCCAAAGGGCAGGGCTAGAAAGTTTCAGATTACACCTTCATGTTGGAGAATAAAATTGTCAAACTTGGCCAAAGGGCAGGGCTAGAAAGTTTTGGATTACATCTTCATTCTGGGGGTCTTTCTAAATATAGCTCCCCATGACCCTAATAAGAAAATCAGAACATGAGTTCTTTACACCAATCTTTCCCTCTGACTGTGCTTAGTCGTTCAGTCGTGTCTGACTCTTTGCAACCCCATAGACTGTAGCCCACCAGGCCCCTCTGTCCATGGGGATTCTCCAGGCAAAAATACTGGAATGGGTTGCCACGCCCTCCTCCAGGGGATCCTCTCAGCCCAAGAATCGAACCCAGCTCTCACGCATTGCTGGAGGATTCCTTACCATCTGAGCGATCAGGGAAGCCTGATCTTTCCCACAGTGTGTACTAAAAGTCAACTGTAACTTTGATATCCCCACTGGAGGAGAGAATAACCAAATTATCTCAGGGTCAACTGGGTGAAGAGCAAGGGCGAAGGAGGGACATGCAGGCCACTCACTTGATTCTTCACAACATGATGGATTTGCCAAAAGGCATGTTTCTAGATAGGACGATGATTGGCCAGAAGGAGCAAGGGAAAGAGAAGTGGCCAAAAAATCTCTATCTTGGACAGATATTTGTAAGGAAAGGAGACTACAGGAATTCCAACAGTTCAAAAAGATAGAATCTCCGAGGTTTCACATAGGTTAATAAAAAGTCCTAAAGACTAAGAGTGGGAAAACAACAAGATCCTGTGCTTCTGAAGGATGATCTCAGAGAAATGACTCCTTTTTGTGAGCCCTTTCTTGTTTCCACCAGGACTGGGTCCACCATGCCTGCAGAGAACAGCTGGGCATAGAGGGTTCAAAGGTTCCCAGAAGAGGTCAGAAGTCTGGAGCAGCTCAGGATGAATCAGCTTAGAGGGTGCCCAGGTATCAGGCATGCGTAAGTCCCAGGCATGACTCTCCTTAGTGGAAATGGATAGAAGAGGCATTTTAGGAAACTTAAGTTCCTAAATGGTGATATCTGGAAATCTCCAGCTAGAAATGGGCAACTGAAAACCAGGCCCAAACAATTATCCATGCTCCTCCATACTCTACATAAAAATATTACAACAAAAAGCTCTTCATGGGAGCCTAGTAATATATCCATCTACAGCCCTACCTGACAGAGAGGTCCAAATCCACATTTATATGGAAGCAGACTTGCTGCCAGACCAGAGTTATTTTTTTCTGGAGAAGGGAATGGCTACCCACTCCAGTATTCTTGCCTGGGGAATTCTTTGGACAGAGGGGCCTAATGGGCTACAGTCCATGGATGGGGTCACACAGAGTTGGACACAATTGAGTGACTAACTTTCAGACACAGATTTGGGCTTCCCAGATGGCACTAGTGGTAAAGAACCCACCTACAAATGCAGGAGTTGTAAGAGACTCGAGTTGAAGAGACTGGGTTGGGAAGATCCTCTGGAGAGGGGAATGGCAACCCACTCCAGTATTCTTGCCCGGGAAATCCCATGGAAAGAGGAGCCTGGTGGGCTACAGTCCATGGGGTTGCAAAGAGTCAGACACGGCTGAAGTGACTTAGCACGCACACACAAACATAGATTCTCATGGGCCTTATACCATTACAAGCATGGAGCCCTTTAATAAAACTACCAAGTGAGATCATAAGGGACACCTTGCTTTTATTCTATATGAGCATACTAGGCTAAAAACACCCACCAAAAATATCAGGTCCAAATCTCTTGAACCTGTAAATGTTACCTTCTATGGCAAAAACTTTGCAGATGTGACTAAGTCAATCTTCCTAAGATGGGAAGAGTATCCTGGATTATTCAGCTGGGCTGTAACTGCAATCACATGAATAAGAGAGATGCAGAGGGCTATAAGATACAGACAGAAGAGGAGAAGGCAATGTGACCACGAAGACAGAAATTAGAGTGATGCAGCCACATGCCAGGAAAGGCTGGCAGCCACCGGAAGCAGCAAGACAGGTGAGGAAGAAGTTCTCCCCTAGTGCCTCCAGAGACAGCATAGCCCTGCCAGTGCCTTGATTTCAGCCCAGTGAAAAGGAGTTCCAACTTCTGGCCTCCAGAAGTATGAGATAGTAAATTTCTGCTGTTTTAAGCCACCAAGTTTGTGGTCATTTATTACAGCAGCTTTAGGAAATTAATAAAAGGAGAAAGGCTCAACCATGCTCACTGAAATGGGAATTGGTTCTCTCTGCTTTTTTGGTTATTCAAAGCCAGCTTCAAGTTTGAACAATGAATAGGTGACTAGATGACAATGCAATACAATAATTTCCATGCATGCAAAAATATGCTAGCACATAATTCAGTGAACTGCAAGGGCCAAATCAAAATTGCTAAAACAAGAAACCGGAAAATGTTCAAAATGTCTACTGAGTCTAGTTCCCATTAAGCTTGTCACTGAAGAGACCCCAAGAAAGCAGGGGTCAGGGTGGGGCAAGAGTGATCACTAACACAAAGAAGCTTATCCTACCCTGCTCAGAAAATAAGAGCCAAAGTTTAACCATCCCATTGCACTCTCCATTAAGTTGTAATAAATTAGCTTCTCTCCTATGGGAAATGCGTTCACAATTTCTTAAAATGTACATGCTGATTTCAGAGTCTAGAAGGGGTTATTAGATAAAACTCATAACCCAGAATCGATTGTATCACTTTCTAAATGTGGTCCTGGAATCCTGTATCTTTGCTGAAGCAGCAGGCAGAGACGAAGATGGATGATCTACCCATAACAGCATAATAGCTAAAACGCAATTACTGGCCTTTATGGAAAAGAAAAAAGGCCAGGAGTCATAAACCTCAAAACCAGAACACTTTGCTTTTTAATGATTCCAAATTATCTAAACAAGCACTGGAATGAAAATCACTCAATTAGCCTTGTGCTCTACTAGTAACAGAATTCTTTAGAGAATTCAATTATTACTTTGTACATTCTTTGAAATGAACAATAATTTCTCTACATTTGTAAAAAGGTTTTATTTCATTTTAAAATTTGATGATTCACCTTCTCTGTGTATTTGTGTGTTTAATTCTTCAGGATATAAGATTTTCAGCACAAATTTTTTGTGGTTTAGCTATTGCCTCTTGGGCAGTTGTAAAATTAGGCAGGTGAAAAACAAGAATGTTACCTGTTTATCTTGGTAGGTTGATATGGTATGGTTTGAAAATCATTAATTTATTCCAGGATAAGAAAGTATTTCGAGCTATTAACTAACAAATGTTTTCCCCACAATTACTCTTCCAAAGGATGATATTAAGCAAAAAATATCTTGATTTCTTTCATAAGCTGTAACCATCCAGAGCCATTTATTTAAATGGTCATTTTTGTTTATCCATCAAAAGCAAGACAGAGTATAGGGTTTTTGTTTTTGTTTTTTTAATAAATTTATTCACACAAAAAATGAGACTGTAGAGGGTCTGGGGGCTGTACACGGGCGGGGGCCTGTGGAGCTCTGTACATGGGACTGGGAGACAAGAGAGCCTCCAGGTGAAAGGGTATTTTTTAATAAAAAAAATAACGGAGGTACAACCACCCCCTCCCCCCTCCCCGATTAAAAAGACACAAAAATGGACGTCTCTGAGGTAAATGGGGAGCCGGGGGGCTTCAGGGTGTTGAAAGGGTTTCACAGGCACCGGGGCGGCTCCCGCATCAGTTGGTAGAAGAGCACGTAGCCCTCACTGGATGCCACCTGGTCTTCACTGACGGGGAGACGGAGAGTCATTTAGACATGCCAGCCAGTCTGGCACCGGCACAGGGCTGTGTAGTGGCCGCAGTGGACGCCGCCCGAGTGGTTGCANACATGGAAGGAGCCATGGGGAGTAGGGGGCTCTGTCCGTATGCTGAACAAAGTGGGTGGCCCAGGAAAGCCCCCGAGGCGGCGGAGAGAGGTGCTGCGTCTCAGAGGGGGTGGCTCAGGCCGGAGAGCCAAGCGACTCAGTGCAGCCCCTAGCTCTCCAGTGCCACGGTGCCCTCCCAAGGCAATCCCCATTGGACGCAAGTCCCCACTGCTCACAGACTTGGAACGGGTTAGGTTGGTCCTGGATGGGAGAGGCAGAGCCACAGTTGGGGGTGGTGAGCCAGGCAGGGGAACTCCAAGATCTGCCCGAAGTGGGCCGCTGGGACGAGGGCCTGAGGTCCGTCCCCGTCCCAGCTCCAGTTTCTTGAGCCGTTCCTCAGGGGGACCTGGCCTAGGAGGCAGAGGTCGTAACAAGGGATTTGGCCCAGGGGCTGGATTTCGGCACTCCTTGCTCCGGGCCCGGGGAGCAAATGGTAGCTTGGATCCCACTCGGGGCTGGATATTAAGAGGTGGCTCTCGGGTCCGTCCCAGGCAGTGCTCAGAAGCCTGGGGCATTGTGGACACCACAGGCTGGACCTGTCCCCGAGTGAGGCGGCAGGGGAGGCCAACCGGGGTCAGGCCTCAGCTCAGGGCCACCCCCTACTACCCTCGCGCAGCGCCCCCGCGGGCCCGGCTGCAGCTTTAGCCGCAGCTATTGCCCAGCTCTCTCCCGCCGCAGGGGCTGCCGCCATCTTTGCTGGTCCCGCCAGGCCACCAGAGTATAGGTTTTACATGCAAATGATAGTGTTTTTGCCTCTCCCAGCTGAGTTGTAGAGAGCTGGAAAGAATTTAGTCCTTTAAGGTAATGGTGGAAAGAAGACTCAACCACCACCTGTCTGAAGCCCTCTCCCCACTGGACCCTTAGCAGGTTATGGGCTGGAACCAACTCTTAAAATTAGAAAACACTGATCTAAAAAGTCAAAAGGCAACTGAAACCATTAAATTACATGAACATGGCTGAAGAGCTCTGAGCTCCTTTTAAAATGAAAATTGTTTCCTCTGTAATATCTCTTCTCACCAACCAGATTGAAGAGTACTAATCAAAGCACACAATAAGTGTTCAATAAAGGTCCTTGTTCAGTAATTTCAGAGAAAATGTTTTAACCATCGTCACTATCTCCAAAACCTATCCCACCCTCTTTTTTACTTGTTCTAGAGCTTCTGGGGAGGAAACTGAACCATCATAAATGTTTTAACCATCGTCACTATCTCCAAAACCTCTTTTTTACTTGTTTATCCCACCCTCTTTTTTACTTGTTCTGGAGTTTCTGGGGAGGAAACTGAACCATCATAAATGTTTTAACCATCGTCACTATCTCCAAAACCTCTTTTTTACTTGTTTATCCCACCCTCTTTTTTACTTGTTCTGGAGCTTCTGGGGAGGAAACTGAACCATCATAAAATGGCTGAGAATTTGACCAAGGTCCTGCATGACAGAGGCCATAAAACTACAGATTTTATGAAAGGATGCATAATCCATTTGCATGTGAAGAAGAAGACAGGATCTGAAAAGAGGAAAGTCAGGGAGGTAAATAAAAAGTTTCTTTCTCTTCCCAAGGCGCAAATTAAAATGTTCATTTTTGAACAGACAAGCTAAACAGAATTGGAACGCCTTCAGCTAAACACCAATTGCACTGAATTTTTTGATGATGTTCTACTCTTTTTCAGTATTAATTTTCTTTGTTTTGATGTCGGGACCTTTTTTATTTTTATTATTTTTTTTTTAGCTTTTTATTTTATATTGGAGTATAACTGATTAACAATGTTGTGATAGCTTCAGGGGAACAGCAAAGGGACTACGCCATACATATCTCAATATTAATGTTCTACTTTAATGTTTCCTAATTTTATTTTTACAATCAGCATGTGTTATATAAAAACTCAAAAAACCCCCCACACTGAAAGAGCCAGAGTTAGCATTTGGGTTTCTATTCTTGCAGAGTTTCCTCTGCACATTCTCCTCTCCCCATAGTACTGATGCTCTTTGTGACTAAAGAAGTGAAAGGGGAGTCAGGGTATTTTGATGAAATTTATTCACAGAAGTTTAGAAACTTAGCCAAACACATCCTGCAAAAAAACACCAGCTTTGTTCAGCCGCTCCCAGCTGCTCTGGTGAGGAGCCCTTCCACTGGGTCCTCCTTGCCCTGACCCTCTGGGGTGGGATTCTTGGCGCTGCCCCAGCCTCAGGCCTCAGTCTGCCTCCAGCGTATGCTCTGCCCAAGGATGCAGTGCTGCTGGATCCAGACATGAAGCCCCTGACATGGTCTCTAGCCTCCTCCTCTCGTCGTCGCTCAGGGAAATGTGTTCCAGAATACCAGGGACTCTTCCACAAAGGGAAACAGTGAGTGAGTGGGTGACAGGATGAAGCAAACGCCACTTTCTTCTAATGGCCTCATTTCCATTCATGGAATCACCACAGCCCATTAGGGGGGATATAGCAGCCAATTCCAGTGTCCCAGAAAATGGTCTGCCCCGTGAAATTGGTCCTTTGGCTACGAGAGAAAAGGAATCTCTCGCATTTTCAAGGACAAAAATATAATCGCAACAGCCTTAGCTACTATTTATTTAGCCATCTGCTACATGCGGGGCAGTGTGCTAAACATTTTGTATTTACTTTCTTGTGTTAATTCATTACAAACTCTAAGAGGAAAATATGGACTAGCAGATAGGAGCATGACCTATAGTTAAGACCCTGAGTTCCAATGCTGACTCTGACACTGTGAACTGTGTAGCTGTGGGCAAGTGGCTTAATTTCCCTGTGCTTTAGGATCCAAGCCTGCAAAGCAATATAATGAGTAATATAAAAGAAATCTGTTAAAGTACTGCAGTCAATATGTCAGCAAATTTGGAAAACTCAGCAGTGGCCACAGGATTAGAAAAGTTCAGTTTTCATTCCAATCCCAAAGAAGGGCAATGCCAAAGAATGTTCAAACTACCACATAATTGTGCTCATTTCACATGCCAGGAGGTAATGCTCAAAATCCTTCAAGCTAGGCTTCAGCAGTATGTGAACCAAGAATTTCCAGATATACAAGCTGGGTTTAGAAAAGGCACAAGAATCAGAGAGCAAATTGCCAACATTTGTGGGATCATGGAGAAAGCAAGGAAATTCCAGAAAAACATCTACTTCTTCACTGACCTATGCTAAAGCCTTTAACTGTGTGGATCACAACAGACTATGGAAAATTATTAAAGAGATAAGAGTACCAGACCACCTTACCTGCCTCCTGAGAAGCCTGTATGTGAGTCAAGAAGCAACAATCACAACTGTACATGAAACAATGGATTGGTTCAAAATTGGAAATGGAATATGCTAAGGCTGTATGTTGTCACCCTGCTTACTTAACTTCTATGCAGAGTACATCTTACAAAATGCCAGGCTGGATAAACCACAAACTGGAATCAAGATTGCCAAAAGAAATATCAACAGCCTCAGATATGCAGAAACTCTTATGGCAGAAAATGAAGAGGAACTAAAAAGCTTGTTGATGAGGGTGAAAGAAGAAAGTGAAAAAGCTGGCTTGAAACACAACATTCAAAAAACCTAAGTCAAGGCAAACAGTCCCATCACTTCATGGCAAATAGATGGGAGAAAAGGGGAAGCAGTGACAGATTTATTTTCTTGAGCTCCAAAATCACTGCGGACAGTGACTGCAGTCTCAAAAGACGCTTGTTCCTCGGAAAAAGAGCTATGACAAACCAAGATAGCATATTAAAAAGCAGAGACATCACTTTGCAGACAAAGGTCCATCTAGTCAAAGCTATGGTTTTTCCAATAGTCACATACGGATGTGAGAGTTGGACCATAAAGAAAGCTGAGTGCCAAAGAATTGATGCTTTCAAATTGTGGCGCTGGAGAAGACTCTTGAGAATCCCTTGGATCACAAGGAGACCAAACCAGACAATCCTAAAGGAAATCAACCCTGAATATTCATTGGAAGGATTGTTGGTGAAGCTGAAGCTCCAGTACTTTGTTTGGCCACCTGATGCAAAGAGCTGACTCACTGGAAAATACTCGGATGCTGGGAAAGATTAAAGGCAAAAGGAGAAGGGAGTGGCCAGAGAATGAGATGGTTAGATGGCATCACTGACTCAATGGACATGAATTTAAGCACACTCTGGGAGATAGTGAAGGTCAGGGAGGCCTGTGCTGCAGTCGCAAAGAGGGGTCGCAAAGAGGGGCTGCAAAGAGTCAGACAAGACTGAGTAACTGAACAACACAACTCAGCAGAAAGCTTAGAATGGCACCTGGGACACAGGGAATGTTCAAAATGGTTTCAACTATTTCCCCCCATCTTACACATGAGGAAACTAAGGATTAAAAGATACATTATAACCACAGAGTTAATCTTCCCACTTCAGAGGCCAAGGCACCGTCCTCAGTCATAAGTGGTCAGTAGTGGCTCAAGGAGCAGCAAGCGGGCACCCGATTCCTACATGATACGCTCTGTCCACACTCATACACCTAAGACGGGGAGTATGGGCTGCTGTGCTGAATTCCCACAGACTCTCAGTGTATCTTAGATGCTGTTCTGGGGAGACAGGAATCATCCCATCCGGGAGTTCCCTGCATAAAGGCCTGATGCCTTGTACACAAAACAAGGGGCTCTCTTTTGTCCTATGATTCAAAGCACTAGGCCAGGCCACTGGCATGCTGGGCGCATGCTCTGGAGAGGAAAGGGCTGTGTGGAGAAGAGGGATGTTCGCCTGGTCCATTCAAGAAGAACACACCTTTCTCTCTTACCACATCTGACCTGCGATGTTGCCCAGGTTGTGCTTCCACACTGGAGCCTGCCCCTGCCTCCACGAGGACCAATAGCTGGGTCTCACATGCCTCATCCCTGACACCACACAATGCAGGCGCTTTCCAGCCCTGAGCCCCACGGTAACACATCACCCACAGACGAATACCTGCCACTGATGATACAAACAGCTGCCACTGATGATACGTTTTCCTGATACGCGCCTCCTGATTCATAAAGTAGAAAAAATAAAACCTTAAATAGTTGATTTTTAATCAATCAAGACTTTTTCTGCCTTACTAGTTGGCCTTCTGGGCTTCCCTGGTGGCTCAGATGGTAAAGAATCTGCCTGCAATGCAGGAGATCCGGGTTTGATCCCTGGGAGGATCCCCAGGAAAAGGGAATGGCAACCCACTCCAGTATTCTTGCCTGGAAAATTCCATGGACAGAGGAGCCTGGTGGGCTACAGTCCATGGGGTCACAAAAAAGTTGGCCATGACTGAGCATGCATGCACTCCAATCTAAATTATCATATATTTGCAATGAAAAATAGTGGAAATTAAAGCTTGAAATGATCACCATAAAAAAATAATTTTTTAAAGAACCAGGGCTAGAGTCAAGACATCTTAATATGACTGTTATCATTCTTGCTAATATTCAAAATACTAGCAAAAAAAAAAAAAAACTAGGCAAGTTTTGATGCCTTTGGGCACATTAAGCTCCCCCTCACAATGTAGTTTTCATCCTTAATTCTTTTTTCCCTTCCTCCGGAGTGCATCTGTGAACTAGAGAATTTA